GGACACATGTCTAAGATTTTATTTAACTCATTAATTAGTGTGGAAACCAGGAGGCCAGAAGTCTGCAAACTATGACCTGCAAGCCAAATCGAGCTTGTCACTTGCTTTTGTGAATAAATTTTATGGAGGACATCAACACCCATTCATTTACATATTGCCTTCAGCTGCTTTCTTGCTACAGTGGCAGAGTTGTAAGGTCCACAAAGCCTAACTTATTTACCATCTGGCTTTTTACTGAAAAAGTTTGCTAACCCCTGATATAAGCCATAGGGAATACTGAAAGAAATGTACAAATAAACGCAAAGAAATTTGCATATAGATGCACAAATCAATTTCATTTTGCCAGGCAAGAAACAGTTTCATTTACTTTGCAGAGCTGTAAAATAACTCAAAGACGATCAAAGGCACGGATAATGCAGAAAATATACTAGACCTGGGCTATTAGGCTAATTACATGAACAGAAACTCAAGACTAGGGATCTAGGAAGAAATATTGTTTTACAAACTAGGGCACAGGTAGGAACGAAGCTGGTATTCAGAACTATCCAAAAAGAGAAAGAACCCTAATGCAGAGCCTCAGTGATTGGAATTCAGAATGGAGGAGGCTGAGGTTGGTCACTGGAGTGCTTCCTACCTCAAGCCTCGGTTGCTCTGGAAACTGGACAGGGCTGAGTTCTTGAGGTTTGATCAATGGGCCCAGCTGTGGGAGCACCAGGGTGGGCAGAGGCTGACCCCATACACCTTCCTGGTTTCAACAATTATTATAGGCTGAAGACTCTCACATATACATTTACAGCCCTGACCTTTTCCCTTCAACATTCATGCTAGAGTTATAACAATTCCCTGCTACTGTCCCAATAGGTACTCCAAACTCAACATGTCCAGAATTGAACTGTAATTAAACCTCTTATATTCTAGCTCAGTTGGTGACCCCACCATTCTGTGATACAGAAACCTGACATCCTTGATTTTTCTCCCTCCAGTACTAGCTTATACATCCAATGAATGTCTTAAATCTGTTCTTTTCTATCTCTAGAATCATTGTCTAGTTTAAGATCTTGTCATCTTTTCACCTGGACTATTGATATCTTCTTACTAGTCTTACCCCTCTGAAACTTATCCAATGGTGTGCTGGAGTGGGCTTTCACCAGCTGGTAAGAACTGGTTGTGTGCTTTTCTTCCCAACTCTGTGTTCCCTGATGTCATATTGGTAGCTTGAAATTGGCCACAGTAGGAGTATTTACACCACAGAAATTGGCAAACACTACAAATCCAGATTTTTTTTAAATGGAAAGCTGCTTGTTAAACATTTATCAGCACATTTACCACTGCCAATTCCCCACAGTATGGCCAAACTGATCTTTGTAAAACACTTATTCAACCATGCCACTCTCCTGATTAAAACTTCAGTGGCTCCCTATGACCAATAGATCACATTAAGTTCTTTCTCATGGCATCCAAGGACTTTCATCATCTGACCCCTGTCTAAATGTCCAGCTTCTTCTCCCCTCCCTCTTTAGTCTCACAACTTACATGCTAGCTTAAAAGTCACAAACTGGTTCACTCAAGCCTAAATTGCCTCATATACACATTTTGTTTGGCCTGCACTCTATCTTTAACTTGTCTGAGCCAACATTTAAGACTTTAAGAAATTCTATCCCCAAATCCAGATTTCTGACTTCTCTTGAAAAATTACAACACTGCGTCCTCATTTATGCTTATAACAGTTTTATAACAACAAGGAACTGAGCAGCAGATGCCCTCTTTGAGACAGTATGTGCTCAGCTGTTCACCAGTTCATACCATTCACTCATCCAAATTATGCATATGCATCCCCACTTCACTTTTATTTCTGTTACCTGTTGTCCGTTTGGCCCCTTTATTGACACAAAGTTCTGATTATTAACAGAAACCTCTGACCCTTCTTACAGAATCTCTCTCTCTTTAGTGTGGCTGTCCTGATGAGAGTCCATGGTCCCTGCATAGTCTAGGAAAGGAAGAGCAGCAGGATGAGAAGAAGCAGCAGAGGGGGGAAGAGTAGAAATCTATAGTTTTTGGATCAGAGTCTCCATCTTGAAGCAACAGAATTGTGGAAATGACAAGCAGGGACTGTCCTAGGTTTTGGTGACCTCGGGGTATTCCCTCTAGAGCCTGTCTGCTAACTTTCCTTAGAGACTTAGAATGTCTGCTTTCTCAGCCAGACCTGGAAAAGAAAGACCCAAGGACATTAGCTCACATTGACTCCAATTGTGGGAGCTAGGTTTGTAAACAAGAGTCAGTTTCTCAATTTGAGAATAAGAAACAATTCCTTTTTGCTGAGTGCCTGCTGTGTGTCTAGCACTATGCTAGATGCTATGGGGAAAACAAGAGCAGACTAAGACAGCTTTGCCTTCAAAGAGCTCACAACCTTATTGGGGAAGAAAGAAATACATCTGTGAAGTAGTTAGAGAATAATATAAGGCTGCATCAGAAGAGGGAGATTTTGGATGTAACCTAGTGCCCACAACATCTGGGCAGGCAGTAAGGGATGGGGTCGAATTAAGAGAAGGAGCTATGGAAGAAGCCAGGGCTTACAATGGACCTTCACTGCTAGAGAAATAGAGATTATTCCACATGGGGGTGGGGGGTCCCATGAAGATATACATACAGAGAGCAATGAACCAGGTGGGTGTGGCAATCTGTGAATGAGAAAGCTGACTGGAGGACCAAAGGCAGCCTGGGTGGGAGAACATGGTTGGCCACTTCAGACCAGTTTCTTTTGAGAAGATTTCCTCTCTGGTGTCATGTACCCAGAAAGATAAATGGAGACTCAGAGGCTCTTTGTTGAGCATCAAGTCAAAGACAACAGAACCAAATGGCTCCAGAAAGCATCTCATTTTCTAGGCATAGACAGCAAACTTTCAGCCCCATGACACAAGAGGGGCTCAACAACAGCCACAAGTAGCACTGTGCACCTTGGACAGGCCTGTCAGCATTGACATAGAGGGAAAGAAAGAAAAAAGAGTAAGAAAAGTAGAAAGAAAGAGCAAGGAACTGGGAAGAGAGAGTGGACAGGAAGAGCGTCATGGCAGGGAGCAGGCAGGTACCTCCAGTCTAACCCAGGGAATCCTGTGCTGCAGGCCATCTTCCCTCCACCCTCTCCTACCTCCCGCCTCTAGGTCATGACAGAGGTTAAGAGATGCCCCCAGCAGATTCCCAGATCTGAGCTCCTTTCTTCCTAGGCAGACATCACTCACTTGCCATCTCTCCCAACTGCAGGCTTTCTCCCAGTTGTTGTGTTAATGTTCATTACCAGGCCCACTCAGACCTACTTCTTCCCTAGCCTGGAGGCTTATGTTAATTTCTGAGATTATTCTTTCCTGTGTCCAATTTACTTTATGAGCCAGTAGCTCACTTCCTGCTGTCTTGTTTGTAGCTGCTCCCTCTAAATGTTTAACAGTGTTTACTTGATGCTCCAGCCAAGCAGTTGATGACCGATGTGCAGCCAACTCTCAACTACTCAGAGGCTGATGCAGTCATCCCATGAAGGAAATACATTTCTTGCAAACTTCTCCACCTCTTTCCCCTCCACCTTTCTGCCATTCCCTGTTTTCTGACCACTTCCCTGTTTGGGAATCCTTCATCCAAGGTGGGAAGGAGGAAAGATAATGAAAACTGTAACTCATCCTTCTGTCAGTTCGCCAGCAACTGTGGGCTTCCAAAATAATTTTGAAGAGTAAAAAGACACTATCAATTAGAACAATATTTGTCTATTCTGTGAGAATCTCCATTATTCATGCTCTGGTCTCCTCAGTTAAAATGAGTATTTGGAACTGTTTCTTTTAAATGTATTAAGATCAATATTTCACAGTCTCCTGGAATCCTATCAATGCTTTGAATCCCCAGTTCCACATCTCCATGAAGATTCGTCTGACTATTCCAGTCCTCCTCATTCTCTAGCTCCAGATTCTATCACACTGAGACTCTCATGTTGGGTCTAGTGTGCTGCCTTGGCTTTCCTATTAGACTAAGAACAGACTGGGTCCCAAAAGACACATTTCAAAATTGAAAGTTTTTTTTAATTCACTGATCAGGTTCTGCACATTTCCCCAGAATTATATGCTCCTGAATACACAAAGAACCCCACACCTTTCACCTATAGCTGCCATTTACACCAAGCATCACATCATGGACATACCAATTTTATCAAAGGTCTTTTTTTCTACTGGCAACTTCTCCCCCAAGCCTAGCGGTCCTCATTTACAGAGTAATTTTTCCTGACAATAACAGATTCTCTCTACCTTGCTGGGATCTATAGGAAGTTGGAGGAACACTGTCTAGCCTTGGTTTTTGGTCCCCTGAAGTTCCACCTACATACAAAGTCAGGGCACAATTTGGGAGTGTCTTCTCCTCAACTCCCAGGGCTTGATTTAGTGGCATGGTCTTTGAGATTACTGGTTGCCTTTAGCCTTTCAAACAAATATTCCTGCAGTCTCAACTGCTCATTCAGAACTGAACACATACTACTATGTACTCCTACTTACCAATTTTATGTAAGTCTGATCTACCCAAACTCCTGAGAGTCAGGAAAAAAATGTCCTTCTCTTCTCTGTACCACACCCATTGTGCCTCAGACAGAACCGGGCATGCTGGGTTGTGCACTGTAAGGCCAAGCTCTGGAGCCATACTGCCTGTGTTTGAATCTTGGCTCTGTCCCTAAAACCTGAGTAACCTTAGGTATGTTCTTTAACCTCTGTGAGCCTCAGCCTCCTCATGTGGAGAGAATACTTACCTGACACAGTTGTTGTGGTGATTAAATGAGTAAATCCATGCAAAGTGCTGTATGTCTGACCTACAGCAAGCATTTCCCAACTAGCTATTATGATAAGGAGGAGAATTGACAAAAAATTGGTGACTTCAATTCCTGAATCACTAACATTTGATGGGCCCCATGTTCCCTCTCTCTCCAAGCTTTAATCTTGCCCTTTTATGTGGTTTTCTTTTCATTTTCTTGTACCAAGGTCCCCACTCTGATGATGGACACCCAGTTCTCTGAGTTCACACCAGACATCACTCCCATCATGCTGGCTGCCCACACCAACAACTACGAAATCATCAAATTGCTTGTCCAAAAACGAGTCACCATCCCACGGCCCCACCAGATCCGCTGCAACTGTGTGGAGTGTGTGTCCAGTTCAGAGGTAGACAGCCTGCGCCACTCCCGCTCCCGGTTGAACATCTATAAAGCTCTGGCAAGCCCCTCACTCATTGCCTTATCAAGTGAGGATCCCATCCTAACTGCCTTCCGCCTGGGCTGGGAGCTCAAGGAGCTCAGCAAGGTGGAGAATGAGTTCAAGGCTGAGTATGAGGAGCTCTCTCAGCAGTGCAAGCTCTTTGCCAAAGACCTGCTGGACCAGGCTCGGAGCTCCCGGGAACTGGAGATCATTCTCAACCACCGAGATGACCACAGTGAAGAGCTTGACCCTCAGAAGTATCATGACCTGGCCAAGCTGAAGGTGGCAATCAAATACCACCAGAAAGAGGTAAGCTGAACTCCTCTATTTTCTGGGAAGCTTAAGACCTCCAGAGTCCAGAACGGCAGAGCAAGAGTCAGCATTTTTCTCCCACTTAGCCCTCCACCAAACAAATGGTTAGATAGGCCTCAAAAACAGTTAGGTCCATTTAACCAAGGCACATACAACCTCTGCATATTTTTTCTTCATGGCCAGATAAGTAGGGAAAAATCTGATTCTATGATGGGAAAACACTCATTCATTCAACAAATGCTTATTTGGCACTGTTCTAGGAGTTTGGGATACAGAAAACAAGCATGACCCTGCCTTTATGGAGCTTACAAGGTGAACTGTAAGCCAATGGTCACATTAGTGAATATATAATTACCAACTAACCTAAGCTCTCTCAGGAAGCACTTCTGAGAACACATAAAAAGGACCCTACCCGATATACTGGGGCCATGGCGCTAGTGATCACAGGGGGCTTGCTATCTGGACGCTGGTAGTTGTTGACAGAACTAAGTCATTGGCAGCCCCTCTGCAGGAAAGCTGAGATATGCATCTAAAAAATAGAGTCACACTCAGGGCGTGTGGTTCTGTAGAAGGCCAGAGCAACATCTGTGATGGTGTGACTTCAAACCATTAGGGTTCACCTTTTTAAGGGAGGTCAGTTCAAGCAAATCACAGCAGAAGAGGCTTTTGCTGTCCAGCTCGGCTATATTTACAGTTTAGCCAGTGCTGTTCTATGCCATCTTATCAAATAATTGTGGGGAGCCTTTCTAACAGGCCTTATTTCAGCTCTTTAAGGAGGAAGCATGGTAGAAAGAGCAAGGACTTTGGAGCCAGTAAAACTGAGGATGGAAATGGTCTTAAGCTGGATGGCCTGAAGAAAGTCCTTCAAATTTCAGGGCTTTAGTTTTCTCATAAAATGGAGATGACAAAATTTCCTCCACTTCATAGGATTACTATGAAAATAAGTGAGAATATGCTAGTGTACAATGCATGGCCCAGGAAGTACTTTAATGTCCATTTCTAGCTCTCCTCCAATGCTACCTGGGGTCAGATTCAAACAGGCTGAACCCAGCAGTGCTTGCTGTCTGAAGGGCAACTAGCAGTTCCATCCCTTCACAGGTCCAGGCTCTGAGGCAAATCACATACGTGCTCCCCTGCTCCCTTTCTCTCAGACAAGAAAAAAAATACTATGCCCTTTTTTTTTTACTATCCCCATTTTTTAAATGGAGTTACTGGGGATTGAACCTAGGACCTCATGTATGCTAAGAATGTGCTCTACCACTGAGCCATACACCACATACCATTGAAATAAGGCAAAAAATGAGTACTGAGGCAACCTCAAAGGGGATAAAACATGACAAAAGAGCAACATGGAGACTGAAAGGACTGTATTGGGGGAAATAGTAAATGGATAGACCCACCCCTGAATCTCCTTATCCTGTTTTTGCAACTACTTGCTTTAAGGTATTTCATAAAGCCTGAAATTACTCAACCTCACTTTTCTCTTCTGAAAAATAGGGATGATAACAGGAGGACTTACCTCCCTGGAGAAACGTAACGTTTCAATAAAATAAAGCAAGTAATACATTCATGCATAGGACAAGATTCAGCATAAATTAGGCATTTAATAAATATTAGCTGCTATTATTATTCATTTTCATTGTTACACCCAGGGGACCCATGGTGCATGACCTGATTCTGTGTACTAAAGTTGTAGGTAATAGATATAGCAACAGCCATCCCCTCCCTCAACCTGCTTCCCTCTCGCCACCCTGCTATTGATGTGTAGTAGCTGTTGTGTTAAGTAGTCTGCTGTAAGGTCTAATTGACTTTTCTTTACTTTCATATGGGTGTATATTCCAATTTCAGTGTGTTTTTCATTTTATATAAATTGTTATACTATAAGGAAAAAAATCGCAAGTATTTTTAGAATATGAATTGCTTCCAGATGACAAAATGATTAATGGGAATAGAAAGGTTAAAAAATGGGAACATATATTGCATAATATAACTAAAGTTTGCATTCCTTACCTCACCAGATAGTAGATAAACTTCATAATTTTAGGCCCTCATCCCCCTAAAAATTGGCAAAGCATTTATTTTCAAACAGTTTCACTACAATATTTCATCAATTTTGTATTGGTAGATTATCTTCCAACTACTTTATCACTTGACCCCTTCTGCTCATATAATCTTCATTTGCCAATTTTAGTTACTGTTCCATTTGGAAACCATTGTGATGACTTCCTCACTCTCATGGGAATCTGTTTAGCATATGACCATGAAATCACCCGTGGGTTCTACATTCACTGCCCTCCAATCCCCATTAATCTCATCATTTTTCCCTCATGTTTTAGCCCTTTTACTTTTCTGAAACTTTGTCCCCATGCCCCTTATTTCATAATTTATCTTATTACTGTTATTACAGAATACTTCCATGTTCCTATACATTCATATGATATATTTCTCAACTATCATTATACCAACCTCAATGTGGCAAGGGTTATATTTCTTTTTGCTCTCTCAATTAAGCATCAGAGATTCCAAAATTGTTCTCAGGTTCTATTTGCTGTGTACATTCAAGTGGAAAGGATCATTTGTCTTATTGTGGTAAAATATACATAACATGAAATTTACCATTTTCACCATTTTTAAAATTTACAGTTCAGTGCCATTAAGTACATTCATGTTGTGAAGTCATGACGACTAGGAGTCATTTTTTGAAGATGCACAAGTTTTGGGTGTTGAATTCTTCTTTCAATAGTGAGCCCACACACTTAGAGTTTCATATTTTGCAGACTGCATTATTTTTAATCCATAACACTGGCAAAGCAGCATCTTTTGACTATTAAAATTATAGTATTCAGCCGGAATACAAAGGTAATCCAAAAAGCGCTGTATTTATGCAAAGATCAACGATTTTAGGCCTGGTGGCACTCACTCATCATTGGGAATCAAATCAATGAGAACTTTGGGAATATATTAGACTGAACTGTTTCAGTCAGAGCACTTCAAACTCCAACTCCAGTTTTGCAGTAAATGCAGCAAGGACAGTGAGTGACTCTCAACTTCAATGACAATAATTTCATGGAAAAGAATATACCTTCATAGAGTCACATAAACTCAAATATGGCCCAAAGTTTAGTCCCATGGCCAGAGACCTCAGAATTATTTTAGGATTTATATATTTAGCTCCACATTTTCCAAGATAAGTTATCTTAACAATGGCCACAGATAAATTTTAGTTTAGTTTCTCTTAAAACTAAGCTGCATGAATTAGCAGGGCAGGCTTGAGAATTCAGATATACCTTAAGGTTTGCACTCCAAAGGCACTGCTCCCAAAATTTAAAACATGATTTCTACCCATCAAAATCTATAAATCTCTTCTGAATTGTGGCTTTGTTTCCACTAATGAACTATATAATCCTTCCCAGCTTGTGAATTATAGTTTTTTTAAAATGTGTGGTTCCATTGAGTCTCAAATGATTATAGTCTCTAATTGCTCTCTACTCAAATTCACATGTCTATTTTAAGACCAAACACTCTCACCTCAAACAAATCATCCTTATTTTGGGGGTGTTTTTGTCATACTCCCAAACTCATCCTATAAGACACTATCACACTGATACCAAAACCAGGCAAAGACACTACCAAAAAAAGAGAATTACAGACCAATATCACTGATGGACATAGATGCAAAAATCCTTACCAAAATATTAGCAAATAGAATCCAACAGCACATGTAAAAGATTATACATCATGATCAAGTGGGGTTCATCCCAGGGACACAAGGGTGGTTCAACATACACAAACCAATGTAATACATCACATCAACAAGAGAAAGGACAAAAAACACATGATCATCTCAATAGATGCAGAAAAAGCATTTGATAAAATTCAACACCCATTTATGATAAAAACTCTCACCAAAGTGGTCATAGAGGGAACATATCTCAACATAATAAAAGCTGTATATGACAAACCTACAATGAGCATAGTACTCAACGGTGAAAAACTCAAAAGCTTCCCACTAAAATCTGGGACAAGACAAGGCTGCCCACTATCATCTCTCCTATTCAACACAGTCTTGGAAGTCCTAGCCACAGCAATCAGGCAAGAGAGAGAAATAAAAGGGAGCCAAACTGGAAAAGAAGAGGTAAAAGTGTCACTATATGCAGATGACATAATACCATATATAGAAAACCCTAAAAGGTCCACACAAAAACTACTAGAACTAATCGAGGAATTCAGTAAGGTAGCAGGTTATAAGATTAACGTACAAAAATCAGTTGCATTTCTTTACACTAAAGATGAATCAATAGGAAAAGAAAGTAAAGAAACAATCCCCTTTAAAACAGCACCCAAAGTAATAAAATACCTAGGAATAAATCTAATCAAGTTTAGTGTGTTTGGATAAGAAACACAATCCTGTGAGCTACTGAGGTTCTAATAATTCAGGTATCTTTGAGCACTTCATTCTCAGAAGCTCCTGATCTGAGGAAGCAGACTGATAAGTTTGTTCAATAAATATCTGCAATCTAGTCATTTAAAAAGTGAAACATACACACAGCGCTTAAGGCCACAAGGATAAAAAAGTCACTATCTTGATAATTTATCACATTACACAATACATTTGATCTCTAATTTTCATCATACAAACTCTCCTGATGTAGAATGTGATGGAATTAGGCAGACCAATCTTTTCTTTGGATACAAATAAACAAATGAAAGCTAACTTTATCATTTTCTATTATCCTTATAGCAAATGAACTCAGGTTTTCTATGTTAGATAAAATTCCTCAAATTCCTTGGAAACCTATAGTTTATGTGTGCTTACTCATCAAGATGAAAAATATATTAAGATCTTAAGTCAATCACACTCCAGTGTCTGGTGGAAAACATTCAATTTGAAGGTTGCATGTTGCAAGTCCCTAAACAAATTGGAGACATCTTTTAAAAGGTCAGCTTTTCTAGATGACCTTCAGGTCCTGAAGAAGGCTAGACAAGAATTATCTCCCAGGCCCAGAATTATTCAAAGGAAAAACAATCTCTAGATAGGGATGGAACAA